CCTCATAAAATTGTAGAGATTAAAGGCAATACATTAGATAATACTCAAAATCTATTAAGTTATACATTAAAGTGCATCTGAAATGAGGTGAATATGCAATCAATGGCAATATCATTATTGCAAATGGCAGCTCAGTAAAATAGGGGCTTGTTAGAGGCAGGTTGTTGGAGGGACATGTATGTGTGTGTGTGCGCGCGCACACGCATGCCCCAGCTTCTAGCTTAGTGTGCAACAATAAAGGCTGATGGGTGTGAAGAGGAAAGAAAAGGAAGGGAGGAGAGTACAAAAGAAGGAAGGAAAACAAAAGAAAGAGAAAAAAGGCGAAGCAAGCAGTGGGAAATTGGAGGTCTTCCTCTGGTTAATGAATTTCATAAAGTGCTTCATCAGAACTTGCAGAAGTTGGAATGGATGCGATGTGAATTCTCTGGTCAGCTGCCAAGGAGGGATCAACGCAGGGTCACTCTCTTTCATTTGGCATCAGACACCGCACTGCAGATATTGGACAATCAGTCGGTCAGTGGATGCTCATTAAACCATATTCTCAGCACTGGGCTCTGCAGCCGAAGTATGAAGGAGTGTGGCTTTGGGACACACCAATTTAACGGGGGAGTGAACAAAAGATGACAAGACTTGATATCATCTTGAAAAATAGAAACTGTAGCCTCAAAAAGAGACAGACTTAGGGGTTTTTGTAGAAATAAATAAGGAGTGTCAGTGATTTCTAATGCGTGCAAAAGTCTGGTATCATGGTTCAAAAGGTCGGCCTTCTGAATACTGTTTGCTTTGCCGACAGAAGTGGCAGTGTAGACTAAGCGAGGTTATTTATAACCTGCCACCGTGCAGGAGTGCAGATGGAGCCCGCAGAGCACGCTTGCTTTTAGCAGATGACGCCAGCAATCTGGGGACGCGGTTGGTTCTGGTGGTTGCTAACTGGCCGCAGATGTGATAGGAGACGATATTGGTCTTTGGCGATTACAGGTATTAGTGTTCAATGATTCATTTTAAGACTACAACCTTTGTAGGGAAGAATTGCCATTGGAGAAATTACATTTTGTGCTCTTCCAGGGAACGAACCATGGTTGATCATTTTTAATATCTCCTAGAAGTATGTTACACATTGCTCTTTTTCTTGCAAGTACAAAAAAAGCATTTCTGTAATCCCTTTTTTTTAAGTACCTGGTACTTCAGTAAGTGAAAGATTTTTAGTTTATACTGAGGCTGACACAAAATATTCACCTAACAGTAATGCTGTAGTGCTCTACGCTGTGAAAATACTTAGTATGATAATTGCTTTTCTGGATAGCATTGATAATAATGACTTTTCTCTGAAATAATTCTATTTCCAGGGATGAGTAAAGGAAAATATGTAGAATTACCAGGACATCAAGGGATCAGTTTCCATTCCTACAGGGAATTCTAATTTTCATCATGTTGAATTTAGGAAACTCTTTGGCATCCTTTAATAATTTTTCAAAAATTAGGATTTCAGTTGGATAAATCTTTCTAAACAAAATTTACAAGGATCTTAAATACCAGAAGTTGATAAACTCAAAGATGTGTAATAATGTCTTTTCCCTTCAATACCTTAAACATTTGCAGGCATCCAGGTTCTGTGTGTATAATCAGTGATGCACAATGTAACACTGCATCTTGCATAGCTGCATAGTTCAGCCCATTATGACAAGAGAGCAGGCAGAGTCTGACATTAGAAGAATCAGACCGCCCAGGGGAAAATGAATGAGGTACGTTTTACAGTCCTTTGATTTCCTTCTAACTCAGCGGGGCTTTAATTTCTGGCTTAAATGTATAAGATTTATTATCACCCCTCATGCAATAAAAATGTGCTCATTTTTCAAGTAGTAATACTCTAATTAAGATTTGAGGAAGAAATTACTGGGACACATTGGAATGCAGAGCTTTAAGAGGTTTCAAAAATCACCCGTGTAAACAACTGGCTAGCTAGGGCAGATGCCGGTCTTCCTTTGTTCTCGCCGTGTCAGAGAGGAAGACGATTCCTACGGCCATGCCCCTTTGTCGTGATACACTAAGACAGATCACGACCTCCTCTGACACAGGCACACGGCATTCGTGTTGAGTCAGCTATGAAACCCCGAAGAGTGCGGAGTTTGGCTCTGTATTTAAACTGTGATGAGCCCCAGATGTGTCCCTTCAATTCCTTAAAAGAAGCAGTATCCTACGTGTAACACTGCCTCTCAATTTTTAAGTGATTTGTGGAGACACCCAGATCACTCCCTCTGGGTGGGTCTCCAGCGACCTTCTCGTGACCTTTGGTGCTGATTTAAGCCTTCAAAAATGAGATACATTCGAGATGATTTCAGATTGCTCCCTAGAAGATCCAAACTAACTTTTCTCTCTCTTCACTGCGTTCCACCTCTCTGAAACTGAGGCTGAGCTGTGCCACTAGGAGGGTGGGTTTTCACACATTTTGTTTCTTTAGAATCTGCAGGCAAGGCCCTGGGAGAATGCTGATGCTCCAGGCTAGTGTGCGTCTCCCAGAGCTGACCGTAAGTGCTGCTGTTCCTCCCTTCCCTTCACCTCAGCAAACTTGGGAGGCTCATTTACACTGACTGAGGTCAAACACCTGGTTAACCTGAAGCACTGGTTCTCAACCCAGCGTGCACACTACAATCACATGGGGAGGCAAGTTCATGTGATCTGGTCCCAGGCCAAACCTAATGAATCCTCGCTGGGAGCGGGAAGCAGGAATTTTGATTTTTATAAAGCTCATGAGCTTTCCTGATTAAGAATTACTGACCTTCCACTGGAATCTGCATTTTAATAGGTTTAAAGCTACTATGATCAAGTGAAGAATTTTAAGCAGCTATGGGAGAGATATGTGGAGAGCTGAGAATTCCCAGGACACACTGGGTGGAGGGCTTTGGCTCCAAATTCCTTGCCTGTGACTACATTTTTTTTAACAACAATAAAATTTTATAAAGTTGCTTTTAACTAAGAATTACATGTTCTTTATTGGAAAATATGAAAAAATAAAAACAAGAGAATAGTAAGATACAGAACTCAACAATTTTACTTATCTCCTTCCAGTTTTTAGGCAATTATTTTGTATTTTTAATTTTTTTATAAAATCATCCATACCGTTTTCATGTCATTTTCTGCCAATTAATATTCATTTTGTGCTAGAATGTAGGGTTATATCCTCTTTCTCCTCTCTTTCTCTCTCTCTGTCTCAAACACACACACACACACACACACAGTAACATCTTGTAACATCTTATGTGCTCAATAAATCAATGGAGGCTGAATGAATGCAGTGACCCTTTGGGTCATTCATAGAAACTTAATAACAAATATAATCATTTCTATTCCTCGTTTTCTTAATCAATTTCATGAGATAATTTTTAAGTAATTATGGAAAATATGAAATAGAATTATTAAATGCAGTTGGAGCAGTTCTCTTTCAAAATAACTAAATGACAATTTTTGTATTAAACATCTGTCTTCTAATAAATAAGACTTTTGCTTCCATATTAATTCCTTCCAGAAAGGATCACTTTAAATGCCATTCACCAGCTGAGACAGTCAGAATTAGGTGTGGCTGCTGTATATCTGTAAATCAAACAAGAGTGGTTTAAACAAGAAGAAGCGCAACGACAGGCAGTACGGTGCTGCTGCAGGGATTCTGTGGTCAACCAGAGGCTCAAGCTCCCTTCCTTCTGCTCCACCCTCTTTTGTGTGCAGTTGCCATCTTTAAAGTTCCTCACGGACAAATATGACTGCTAGGGTGCCACCCTTCTCATCCAGATTGCAGGCAGGAAGAAGGAGAGAAGGAGGGGCCAGAGACAGCATCCCGGCTGAGCTGGTGCCCTGAAGGAGCAATTCCAGAGCCCACATCTTACCCACTCCCGTTTACACCTCAGTGGAACCCTAGTCCCAGGGGAGAAATGTGTACGAAATGTGGTCTGTGACTTCCTAGACTATGAATAAAAAAAAAAGAAGACAGTCTCTTCTTCCATAGCAAATTATTGTATCTCAATTTAGGCGCCTGGGGCTGTAAATTACAGACCGTCTAAAAAGAAATGACTTACACAGTGCATTTTATTCTACAAACTCAGGGTGGCTCAGGGTCACTCCAGCAGCTCAAGGATATCGTTAAAGTCCAGGTGCCTTCCTTCTATCGTGCTGGAATGCCATTCTTAACAACAATGCCTTTCTTTATGATCAAAAGAAAGTCCACACTGACTGCAGCATGTGCTCCCATTACAACATCCGCGCACTGGAAGGCACACATTCTCATTTGTGTCCCTTCTGGGAAAAACCCTGAAGTCCTCCCAGCCGTCATGGGGCATCTCATGACCACGCTTACACCAATCATGAGCAAGAGCAATGGAATTACCTCCAGTCTTGCTGCAAGGATGGCCAAAATTAATTTTTAAAAAGCAGACTCATGCCCTCTGCCCTTGGGTGAGGGGGATACAGAAGGGGCTCCCAGATGCCCCCTTGTGATCCAAGGGTTTGTATTTTTTTAAGTTTGTTCATTTTGTATGTACATATCTATTTAAAGCCAGGAGAGTATCTTTCTATAAATATGTAACTGGCAACCTGTATCTTCCCTCTCTTCTTTGCCCATATAGCTGGAGCCCTTTTCTCACTTGAGAATCCTTTCCCTACCGAATAAGCTGAGAGTGAAGGGCACCTCCTACTGGATCAAAGGAGAGGGGATACATTTTACTTAAAGTTCTGTACATTCAGTCAGTATTTCATCTTTCCTCCCCAGCCTTAGAGGGTATTTCCCTTCCTTTCTGCTGATCAAATTGCAGCCATAGCTGAAAAAATTTACCTTTATTGTAAGGAAAATACACAACAAAACAGGCCTGGAAGGTAGCAGGGGTGAAAAAAAAAAAAAAGAGCAATGGAATTAAAGTACTTCCTTTAAAAATTTTGTCTGTTTGTTTGAAAGAGTGACATGGAGAGAAATAGGGAGGGGCAGAGAGAGAGAGAGAGGGAAAGGGAGAGGCAGAGAGATTTTTGATCTATTCTCTGGTTCATTTCTCAAATGGCCACAACAGCCAGGGCTGTGCCAGGACAAACCAGGAGCCAGAAACTCCATCAAGGCCTCCCACAAGGGTTGCTGGGGCCCAAATGCTTAGGTCATCTTCCACTGCCTTCCCAGGCTCGTTACCAGGGAGCTGGATAGGAGGCCGAGCAGCTGGGACTCAAACCCGAGCTCTGATATGGACAAAGGCTTCTCAAGTGCTGGCCTTAACCTGCTGGGCCACAACACAGGACCCAAGGGAAGGTAAATACTCGAACAAGGGTGGAACTCAGCTATCTAGAAAGGAGGCAGTGTGGGAGTACAGACAAATGGCTAGTGGATAGATGTCTAGTGACTGTTTGCCACACACATTCTGTTTCACAATACACTGTGATTTACAACTGTTTTCTTGAGCAGTCCATGCTTGGGAAATTCCATATCTTACTCATTATGTACTTTTTTTCTAAAGGGAAAACTCAAGCCTGAGAACAATGAATCATTAGCACAGGTAAAATTTTCTATTGTTATAGTTGTAGAAAAATAAAAGGAGTTACCTCCTGACAAACAGTATCAGCACTCATTATTACACTTTTAGCATCACAATGCATTGGGGAAAATGAGCAAAAAGGCCCAATTATTTTAAAATTAAAATAATTTGCATTTCTTACACACAGATGCAAACACAATTTTACTGGATGTTCTGCTAAAACTACTGAACTTGAACCAGACAATATAAAATGATCCCTTTTTACTCCAATAATAGAATTATTTGTGTGCCTTATCATATGGACCCTTATTTCTTGCTCCAAATAAAGCAACTCAGACTTGTATGGTAAGGTTTGAATGTCCTTAGCTCCAAGAAGACCCTACTAGAACTGAATTCTCAAAACCTAGACCCTTCAGATTTAGATGATCCTTGGTGGGGGAAGTGTTTCTGGGGGGGTTGAGGACCATGAGTAAAACCACCCAGAAGAGTTAAAGTCTTCAGGACTGTTTAGGGGCGTGGCGCACAGTGGCAAGTGGTGCAGGGTGGGAGGTCCTTTCCCACGCAGCACTCTTGTGACAGGCCAGCCTCAATGCCTTTGTGGGGATCGGACCCCTAGCACTGTGGCCGATGGAAATGTCTGCAACAGCACTTTTGGAGCCCACCCGAAGCACTGGCGCCAGCAACAGGACACTGGTTGCAGAAGCATCAAGACAGAAGGCAGTGATTATGTGATCAAGTATATTCTTGGATTCTTAGGATCCAATGCAGATGGAGGCGGGGATTTCAAACAGCAAAAACTAAAGCCTGTCCAATATTCACTTTTTCTTACAAACAGAAGTACCATATTATTGCAGGCAACTGTATCTTGAAAACTGCATTTCCCAGCCTTGCTCCCGCATGTGGTCAGTAAGACTGAAGTAGGCAGGTGTACTCTAGTAGGCCAGATCTATGAGATGAGCCCCTGGAAATCTAGATGCCGAATGGTTTACTGATGGCAGCAGCTATATGAAGGAAGGAGTTAGAAAGGCAGGCTATGCCGTGGTGGATCTTACTCAGACAATAGAAGCCCAAGCACTACACACAATACTTCAGCCCAAAAGGTGGGGCTTATTGCATTGACCAGGGCTTCACAACTGGGAAAAGGCCAGTAAGTTAATATATATACGGATTCCAGATATGCCTTCCTTGTGTTACATGCACACACAGCAATCTGGAAAGAGAGGGGCTTGCTGACTGCAAAGAATTCCCCTGTTAAATATGGAAAAGAGATACTGGCTCTACTTCAGGCAGTACTGGAGCCTTTAGAAGTGGCTGTCATCCACTGCAAGGGACATCAGAAGGGAGATAATTATGTTAACCAGGGAAATGCGTTAGCAGATACAGCAGCAAAAAGAACAGCTACACAGGAGAGTTTGGAAATGGCCCTTATACCTCAATCTGTGGAAGTGGCTAAGGAACCTCACTAAACAGAGCCTGAGAATGAATGGGCCCAACAGCAAGGCTATACTAAAAATGCAAATGGATGGTGGGTGCTAAATCATAGAATTATGCTCCCAATGGCCACTCAATGGAAAATTATTAAGGAGATACACAACTCTACCCACTTGGGAACAGATGCCTTAGTACAACTGGTCTCCTGGGCTTTTAGAGGAAAGCTACTAAATACGGTCATAAAGGAAGTGACTCGCTCTTGCCCACTATGTTTACAGAATAACCCTGGCCATGTAAGGCCACCTCCCCTGTTGACTCCTGTGCAGAGGAGGGGAACATGTCCAGGTGAAGATTGGCAGGTTGATTTTACCAATATGCTCCCAACAAGCAATTATAGGCAGTGACTTCCTGACCGAGAACAGGCAGGGCCTGCGCCCCTAATCAGCAGGAAGCAGCTACAGAAGATGGTGACTCGACGCCTATCAACATCCCCTTAAGATTAAGGTCTGGAATCTCTGAGGGGGGAATGAAGTAGGCAGGCATACAAGCTAAAATTGATTAGATTTGTGAGCTGGAAGACCACGCCTTTGCCATGCCCCTATGTGACTTCACGCCCTACCTTAGCCACGCCCCTGTGTGACCTTACATCCTACCTGATACCCCCACCACGCCCCCATGTGACATCAGGCTCTACCTGACCATACCTGATCACACACCTGCCCACAAGCCACTCCCTTGTGGAAAATATATAAAAAGGCAAGGAGGGTCCCAAAACTCTCTGCCTCTGCTTTGCTGCCCATGATGAGCGGTGGATAGCGGGTCAAGGCACTTGCTGCACGTGGCTTTGGCCTTCTCTCTGAGTGGTATGGGCACTACCCTAGTTTCCAGACTTTCCCCTCTCTCCAACCTGAACTAAAGCCCTCACTTTCCTAGATACCTCTCGCACTAAATAAAAGCTTAAAACGTACCATGCTGCCTCATTTATCTGTGCCGGTATTGAGAATTCTCTAAATATTAGGCAAGAACCCTCTCGGGCTTATTAATATTGGGGATTAATTAATAAGCTCATGGTGAAATCATACGGCACCCCAAATTCCTGTAACACATGTGGCATCCCAGATAGCATTTCTGGGGAACTTTAAGGGGCCTCATTTTTGGTATAAATTTTAGGGGGTCATGTCTGATTTCAAGATGAAGAAGTCGTCTTCAGGAAGCTTCTGAAAAATCTCCATGCTCCTTGGACTTTCCCTTCTTCCCTACAGGAGTTAGGAAATCAGGCCTGCAAGTTCAATAGCACTGGTTCATGTCCCAGCCGCTTTGCTTCCAGTCCAGCTTCCTGCTAATGCACCTGGGAAGGCAGCAGATGATGACCCAAATGCTTGGGTCCCTGCCATCCAGGTGGGAGACCCAGATGGTGTTCTGGGCTCCTGACTTTGGCCTGGCCCAGCCTCCGCATTTGCAGGCATTTGGAGAGTTGAAGGTCTCTCTCTGTCTTTGCCTTTCTAACAAATAAATCTGAAAAATATCGCACAGCAGAAACATGAGAAGGCTCCTGGTTTTGATGACTTCCTAGAACTGCCACACCAGCTCTGCCTCTGTCTAGAATTTCAGCAGGGATCTTTCTTAGCATTACAATTGGGTCTCTGTTATTGACAAAAGCATTAACATCCTAACCAGTTCACAGAATTCTCACAACAAGCTATTATGCCTGATCCCATTTATTTCACATGATGAGGGACAGAAAAATCTTAGAATCAGAATCCAAGCACACTTTTATCTGGCTCTGAAGCACATACTTTTAATCTCTAAGCTATTAGTAAGTCAGGATGGGGCACACACATTTAGACAACAGGCAGAAGGGATGTTGACACCAGGGCAAGAACCAGGCAACCAGAAACCAGTGGGAGTGGGGTGCGTGTGTTCACGCTAACAAGGCCCCCAAAATGCAATCATGCTGGTGAGCCCACTCCATCTGTTCTTTTACCCAGTTCATTGCACTTGAGGTATTTCTGAGCTTAAAACCTCAAGTCAAAATTTAAAATATGCCTAGCAGTTAGTCCACTAATTGAGTTAATTTAGATGCCAATCCTGATAAGTCAAATCCCAGAGAAGAAATTTTGATCTGAATTAACTAGTTTAATTGTCTGCGAAGCCCAAATTGACCAAGTAATTGCGAGTTAATTCTTTCATTTAACGCTATATACAACCTCCCACTCGATTGGGATGGGCTAATCATAGTCTTGGCATTCTCTGCTTCTACGTAACAGGTATCACTCCTTTCAGCTGTGTGGGGTATAAATGTCAGGGGACATTCGGGAATTTATGCAGACATTCTGGATTTTCACCACTGGGCATTGTCACTGCCATCCAGTGGGAGAGGACAGGGAGGCTGCTGAAGATGCCACACGCACGGCTTCTTGCAGCAGAGAATTACCCGTGCCAACGTGCCGCTAGTGTTCCCGTGCTCCAGCCAAACAGTGCTTAGGCAGAGCTGGGCACTTGAACCTGCTAATGACGGTCCAATCAGTTACTGCAGGCTCCACAGTAATGCCTAAGCCTGGCCTGTTGATTCATCAGATTAAGCAGGTAATTGATCGTACTCTCTACTTCACTCTTCTACGGTAGATGCAGCCAAAGTGTGTAACTGATAGGTTTCTAAAATCCTTCATCCTTTCTGTTCAAGTCTTTGTGTTTACTGGAAGGTCATTAAGTGGCTTTGCTTTTGAGGTCCATTTGTTACTTCCAGATCTACTGCAGTCTATTTAGTCTTTCTTAATGCTCTCTAGTGAAACATTAATGAGATGCTCACGCATACTCATAGAATTTGTCTGATCACCTCATTAATTTTTAATGAGCTTGCTGCTTACACTTCAGGATCGTGTAGCAGAAATTGGATAATGTAATTCTTTCTGGGTGGAGTGCCCCTAAATTTGACTCTAAATTATTAATCATGTAGGAGGGGAACATTAAAAAGACTTCAGCCCATAAATTTATCTAAATTTTTGACTACATAATTTCTATCACTGTATTATCTTCCCAGAAATGTCCTTCAATTTTTGTGCCTGAAAACATCCAATTTTCTTCGGAATACAGTCCTCAGAATTCAAAACCTGAGAAATTGAATTTCATTAGAAGATGCAGATCTGAGTCTATAATATTATAATCATGTCAGTTCCTTAAGAAAAATGAGTTATTATTTTAAATGTTAATTTGTGAAGGCTAGAATTAAGGTATTATCTTTAATTCAATATATTTATGTACCCAGATCATCTAATTTTATTGCATATTATTTCAAAATTGTCATCTTATGGATTCAGGGCACGAGCCTTCCTGAATATTTTACTAG